GAAACATTCAGGACAGAAATGACATCTATTGTTTCAAGGTAATAAAGACACAAGAAATTGAATACTTTGCTTGTGATTAACACTCGATGACTCATAAAGTGGAAAAAGATCTTTATACAAGGCAGTCATGGCAATACAGCTGAAAGCAATTTTTTAAAATCCACAGAAAATTGTCATAAATAATAATTCCTAAAATACACGCACAGAGCTCAATTTTGCATAAGATAGTTGAAATATGAATAAAATTATAAACAAAATGCATAAATACAAGAAAATTTTTAAATTCAATACATTAACTTGGGCAGTAAACTTGTCAATGTTTTCTAATTTTCTTAAAAATAAAATGCTTTATATATGTCCTAAAAGCACTTATTTCCAGAAAGCTATTTAAAAACAGACAATCTTGGAAACAAGGGCCATTGGGACTTAATGAAAGGTCCAATTTTAAAATCAAGTCAATATATTTGCTCTTATAGGAATACAGTCAAAAGTCGTTAATTCGGACCTCAAAGCTACAAATTGTCTGCGCATGCGTCGCGTTCACGCATGTGCACAGGCGCTTACGAGAGTGCATAAGACCCTTACAGCTGCGAATATGTTTGTGCGCATGCGCGTTTAATGTGTAACGGAGTTATAAGCTAAGCTAAAGTTATCTAATTCAGTTAATGTTGCAGATTGCGTTGTTCCTTAATCTTCGAATTGGATCAGGCTTATTATTTTTTGCAGACTGTTAGAGCAATTTTATAAAAGTAAGCTTGAACTTTCGATTATGTCAAATAGAATTTCCGATGCTGGAGCTCCCAAAGGATCTACAAAAAGAAAGTATGTTTCGATGTCCATCAAACAAAAAGTGGAATTGCTATTGTAGAATTGTAGAATATTTACTACAAAGCGAAAGTAGGTTTTGAAATCCGAAATCTGTTTATCAATTTCACGCTGCTCTGCGCCAGAGGGGGGGGGGCAGAAACGTCATTATTAGATTATGATAGATTAGAAAGATTATGTCAAATAGAATTTCCGATATATATTTACTAATATGTAATTTGTATCTACAAAGCGAAAGTATGTTTTGAAATCCGAAATCTGTTTATCAATTTTTTATTTTATTTGGTTTATAATTCCGTACTAAGTGTAGTATTTCATCTCAGTATACTATGTCTTTGATATGATTTAAATCAAGTTCCTCGTTTCCGATAGTGAAGAAAGTGACCCAGAGGTTATTGAAAACAAAAACATTTCGATTGACAAATTAGTCGGTATTCTCAACACAGCAATTATAGGACTTGAACAGCGGAACTTTGTAACTAAACAAGAAATTATGTCTGTTTAATAGAATTAAAGAGAAAGTATTATCACATGAAACGAAGCAACTTACATTGAAGGAAATGTTTAATAAAGTAAACAAATAAATATTAAGCTTTTTCTTTTTGTAAATTTTGATACCCTTTAGATCATAATTGTTTATTATTTCATAAATTACGGTTTCATATTTTTAATTTTGTAATTTCTGCATGCCATCTTACCAGATTTAAACTGATGATCTATAATCCGGAATCGCCGAAGTCCCGACGAATCCGGATTAACGACTTTTGACTGTAGTATTAAATTAATCCCATAGTGATGATAAGCTTGGAGCAATATTTATTATATATTTGATCTTTGAGTTTGTATCATCATGATATGTTTCTTTCCTGTACTTAGATAGACTGGCAAATAAATATTTAAACGACAATGGAGTCATAATTTTGAATATGCCAAACCTCCCAAAACTATTTACAAATCACCTGCATACGAATGATCAAAATTTGAATGAATATTGATAGCTTCACAGTCAGAAGACTGAAGACAATCAATAATTAATTGCTTTTCTGTATCGGTAGGTTTTGTAACTGCACTATTTGCTACAGGTTTTTTTTTTTCCTCGAAATAAATTTTCTTTGCAGTTTAATTTTTTTTATTTGGTGGTTCATGTTTCAAAACAGCAGGTAAATTTTGAGATTCATTATTCATGATATTTAAACATTTGTCTAATAACATATTTATTTTTGATACTGTATCAACTGAATAAGATTTCTTTGATATTTGATCATCCAAATATTTCAATTTCAGACTGCACATAATTTTTCCTTCATCCGAGTTTTCTGAAAGTGTTTGACCTGCAGAAGCTACTTCTAATTTATGTAAAGGTGAAATGCTTCATTTGGAAGTACAAGACAATGCAATTTTTATGCATGCATGAATATGCTTGCACATATTATTTAGGACAAATAATCCCAGGGTTGCCACTCAAACAGGAGAATGAAATTCCCTGACTTTTCCAGGTTTTCCAAGTATGTTTCGAGAAAATTCCAGTCTATCCGCGTAATGTATGTTGGCTGTGCTAAGAGGTAAATTAATTATGGTATTACTTGTACTGTGTAGCAAATTCACTTAATTATTCAATAAATCCCAGAGGACATTTATTCTTAATTATTCTTGGTACACTTTGTTTGATAATTTCGTTTACTTTTCCGCTTAAAAAACTTAATAAAATTTAAGATACATACATTGGATAAGAATTGTACGTTTTATTTAATTATTACTCATGAACATCCCCAGTTCAACACGAAGCTAATCCGGTTCTTACAAATCACAACACGATGCTAAAGGTTAGGTTAGATTTTAGGTAAATTTAATTTGTGTGAGGTATATTCTTAAAAGGCACCTTAACACTTGAAAACACAAATATAATTATAATAGGAGTTGTTTTCTCCACTGAAGATCGAGATTAGAATCTGCCCAATCTGGAATAAAATAAGGCTTTTTTTGCAGACATTTTGCAGCTAAAACGAAAGAAAAAAATCTATTTAATGATATTTTTTTACTAAATTGAGGTATTTTATATTTATTTCGCAGCAAGTATAAGGAAAAAATATGTGCATTAAATTTCGTGATGTCATCATACTGCTAGAATTAATTTCAGGATTATGCCAGAGAAAATTTCCTGAAATTTGGAAATATTATTTACTAATGATAAATAAATTTAGAGGGAAGAAGCAACATTAAATGATATGAATAACATAAAGATAATTACTTAAAAATTTAATTAGAATAATCAACGATATTTTAGCGAATATAGTTATATTACATGGTTATCCTAGATGATTGATTACTATTTTTTTATTTTACTGCAAAATGACATGGTATTTATTAAAAAAAAAAAAAGATTTTGCGGTAAAATCCTAGTATATACGATACGGCCTTCGCATGATTTTGAAATTGTTGCCAAGAACAAAATGACCCGTTTACTGCTCATCATCATGTCACCAAATCCCGCTGTACCATACATGGACATTATTCTGACTAAAGAACGTCTATGTAAAAAGCGGAGGGAAAATTTGCCAAGGGATTTGACGACGGAACGGCCAGAATTTCCCTCTCCGCGATGTGAACAGGAAATTGAGAAACACGTGCTGAGAAGAAACGTTCTTTGACAAAAAGAGGGAAAACTACGAAAATCCGTTTTTAAATTATTGCGAAAAATCCAAGAAACATTTTATTAAAGAACGTTTTTTCTTGGATTTTTTGCAATAATTTTAAAAACGGATTTTCGTAGATTCCCCCCTCAAAATAACTGATCCATGAATTAATTTACTTGCGCCAAAAAATATTTTCTTTTCCTTTAGAGTTTAAAGACATTTTAAACGATATTCATTTTATGAACTCTTGATAACGTGACCTTCGAACTTCGACACCGGTTTCGAGCTTTGGCGACAGATATATTGCGCATGCACAGCTGTTTCCCGCTATGATGGAACCGAGCCACGTCTGTTGCAGAGAGGTTTTCCTTCTTACAATACATATTCTTTGATTCTAACCTTCCATGGTACCGTATTTACTGGTACCGCATGGTACCGTAGATTTAACCAATTTTGTTTTATACGAGAACATGTAAATTCTTTAGTTCATGCATTGCACATGCGTTTCTCTCGATTCTTGAGGTTACTGGAAACCAAAAGTTGTGGGAAACTTGCTTTGCCATTCTAAAAGGCAATCAAATTGGAGCTGGCGAAAATTGGCTCTATGCCAGCTGCCGGAATTACACTCACGTGATACACAATTCGCCAAAAAAGTGATCTCTTCCGACATCGGCGCAAAACTTGCCTTTTTTGGTGGGATCGTTGTATGAAATTCCCTGACTTTTCCCTGAATTTTTTGGTCAATTTCCGAATTCCCTGACTTTTTCCGGTTTTTCCGGTAGCGTGGCAACCCTGTAATCCATACATGTGCATTCAAACATGTGAACACATGCACAACACATTCTACAAACCAATTCACAATCATTTTTACAAGTAGAAGCAATTTTCTTTACTTGATATGTTACACCAGTTTTAGTGCAGGATTTTACAAACCACTTGCTTTCACAGTTCTGTGTCACCATCAATGCAGAAATTTCAAGACTACGCTTATGTGATTCATTAATTTTTACAATTCTCGCTGATGGTGTTTTTTTTTTGCATAACTTAATTAGGCGATCAAACACTTTGTCTCTACAGAACCTCATTAATGCATTTAAAGTTTTATCAAGCCTCTTTACTGTTACACCTTGAAGATAACAATGCTTCAAGGTCTTATGCAAAGATTCTAAATACATATTTGTGTTGATGCCTAAATTAGCACGGTAGGCTGTAGCCCATAATGAATAATTACTAGCATATTCTTTAAAAAAATAGGCACCAAATTCTTGCGTATCAAGATCGGAAGAAAGCTGAGCCACTGTGCTATCTAATAAATTATGAAACTGAGTTTTATCAATCGTCTGAAGCAAAACTCGTAAAGTCTTATATACTAATGCTTTCTTTTCAGATCCCCCCTTTATCTTTGATAAAGGGGGGTTTTTTCCTCCAATTTCGATCTATGTGCCAAGTACATAAAATTCTGTTTTCAGGAGGGAGCATCTCTGCTTCCCAAGCATTGTAAAATGCAGGGCTATCATCCGACATAAAAATAGATGGCTTTACTTGGCCACACTTGCTTTTAATAGCATGAAAAAATAATCTGACTGCAGTATAATCAAGTCTATTTGTTACGCAAAATGCAGCCGGACATCCCGAACCAAATTCATCCACAATTAATAATGTTATTAAGTGAAAATCATAAGGATTTGTGCCATGAGTGCTATCAACACATATCTTATCATTTCCAAATTTTTCAAGCATAGTTGCTTGAAATTCAGTCATTATACAAAGATGAAAATCATCTTTATTTAAAATTCCACTTTCATCTTGTATCCCTTGCTCTTTATAATGCATTACAGGTGAACTACTTCCCAGCAGATTCATTTTATGGTTGTCTTACACTTATCGGATAATAAACCTACTATAATTTATTATAAACCTACACTTATCGGATCACTCTCATGCACAGAACACTTATCCAAATCAAAATCTCTCACTATGTTATGTAGATCTTTTCTCTCAATAAGATGTTTCCGGCTTAGCTCTTCATTATTTAAGGAATTCCGAATATCATCCAAAATTCTTTCAAAAGGAACACCAATCCTTAACTTATCTAAAAATATCACACATATTATATAATTCAATCACAGCATAAAAAAATAAACACGATTTTAAAATATAATAACAAAGCCAGAAGAAATAAATTACCAGTAATTATAACATGCAATAGGAGCGGCAGAAAACAAAAGAAAGTAATATTTCGAAAGTAATTTTTGCTATCTTTTTAAAAACATCGATACATTCTATACACAATTTAATCATTAAATGTAAAATTTAATACATAAAGAAACAAAAGAAAGATATAATTTAACCTTAAAATTATGTTCAAATTTAATTGTAGACTGCCATTGTTTTCTATAGAAAAACACAATAACAATTTTCACCGAAATGAACAAAAATTTCTGAAATAATGAAAATATAGAGAAATATACGATATGTAAGAAATATAGGGTAAAGTTACAAAATGCTTTTGTGAATTCCTTACGATTAATATGTTTTTACTAGATTAATTTTTTTCATTATTATTAACTTAGAAGGAATTATCATAGTAATAGTTTATGAAGGGAGTATAGTTACAAAACTGTGTGAAAACTGTTATTCCTAAAGTTTTGAAATTGCTTAGAAAAATAAATAACATATCTTTAATAGTTTTAAGAATTTCATAACTGTTGACTCTTACCAATTGATACTTACTGAATGTCAATTATTCAACACTGAAATGCAAATTTCTGAAAACATTAATATAATCAGTACTACTTGTGAATACATACTGGGACATCCTAAGATGAGATTTTTTAATACTTTTTATTTTTCATAATTAAGATAAGCAGAGTTCTATTTTAAAGTAAAATATTTTCTTTATCCTTTGCTATTCATCAAAAGTTATGAGAGGATTTTGTTCTACTAGAGTTTCCAGGATGTTCTTATAAAGTTCTGTAGATCTTTCAAGAGGAGGCTCATCCTCTAAGCTCAGAATTATTGGTGTGTATTTAATTATGGCACACTAGGGCTATCTGCCTAAGGGGAGGGATGCCTTCATGGATGACTTTCTATAGAGTCGTAGCTAGGGTTTTCAGCGCCCAGGGACAACTGAAGATTTAGCACCCCCTACCGCTTGCCAAGGATGGGAAACATTTAATTCTAAAATGTCGTAACATCAGTTTGGCGCCCCTTGAATTCTGTGCCCGGGGCCTCTTGCTACGCCCGACTTTCTAAGGCAAACTGGCTCGTATACACGTTACACATGGGAAAAACCACTAAAACGCCCATGCAGCCAGCCCGTTCGCGGGATTTAAACCTCGGACCGAACTACCAGTATTCAGAGACTTTACTACTTGGCCGCTGGTGGGCCCAGAATTATTGGAATTCCTGTCGATTTCCTACTGTCCTGCCTCCTATTAATAATTATTTAAATGAATTCACGAAGCAAAATATGCTAAGTAGGCTTTTCGGTCACGTCCAGTTATCTTAGAGAAAATAATTTAAATCAGGCACACTCTATAAAACTTCCATTAAGAATACAAAAGAAAATTACTACCTACTTTTATAAAAAGTTGACACAGTTAATCCCATTTATTTAAGTGAAAAAACTACATTATTTACGAGATGACCCAATACATATCCAATCATTGATAAAAACTTTATTAATATATGACAAAAAAATCTAAAACATAAGTGTCAGACAAACATACCAGCAATATATGTTCTCTCATCTTTGCTGAGAAAGAGATGCCCAAGATCAATTTGATGTCCAACATGAGTTTTCCCAAATTGCACTTTTACACACTCCGACTCAACTGTGACAATGATTGAGGATGGGCAATGTGCATTTATTCTCTTGATCACTAGACCTTTACAGCACTTTTTACCAGTTGTTCGACTCGCATAAATGCCTGACCGATGACAAACATACACAAGCCTGACACTAGAATTCGCCAGCATTCATGAAGTCGTCCTGGTAACATAGGTGGACTTCATATTTTTTTTTCCATTTTTCTTTCCAGATAGTAAAACCTGAAATAAAATCGCATTATATAGTACCATTAAATAACAATTTTCCTTTACAGAAATGTTTCATAAATGCTGTCATTTTTCTTTACATTTATAATAAACTGGATAGGGCAATTCAAAGAAAAATTATAGGTAAAATCCTAGTATACGGTAAGAAGCTCTGTTTGTTTGTTTAGACCAAAAAATGAAATTGATTACACACAAAAGATACTTAGAGATACCTGAAAAACTTGTGCAGATAATCGGGAATGTGATTAATCATCAAAAATGAGTTGGTTGTCACATATCCAGATGAGTTTGTTAAAATAAACCAGCACAATTTTACATAGAACTTGTTCTGTACTAGAAAAACATTAGAATCAATGCCTAATTTTATTATTATACAAACAAGACTAGAAAACTGCCAGAAACTAAACAACGAATCACATACGATGGTATAACACACTGAAAAAAACAAAAATGGCTGCTGTTCAAAGAATTTGTAAATTTGTTCAAAGAATTCTTTGCTGCAGTTGAAAGACAAATTTTGCTCCACAACGTGCTTTTCCGTTTTAAACCGAAATCCTCTAATTTTGTAACACCATTCGCTGCTTAGAATTTCTAGGATTTTGCTTGGGTTTCAACTCGCCAAAAAGTTTTCGCCAATTCCTACGACAACCCCAAGGATTTGGGTCAGAACTGAGACGCTCCCGTCAAAGAATATGTTCTTTGGCTCCGTCCCCTGTCAACTCTTCGCATGATACGTGGTGAAAACTCGAGATTATTTGATGGAAGATCCGAAATTGAGAGCAATATCCGACTCCAGGATGATTATCGTATTTTTAAGAACTCGGAAGTTTTAAATCGCGAAGTAACTGGAAAGACTTCTTTTATGAACGTTGAAATGATACCAGTGCAATGGCGGATTATGGGGTTACGCCCTTGGCATCTAGAGAGACCCTGCAATAAGAGGCCTAAAAATCACTTTTCGGATTTTGTTCTTGAACATGAGCCGCTTGTACAACTATATTTTCATGATGAGAACAATGGAATGTATTTTTTGACATAAGATCCAGAAAGAATTAATGCGTAAAAACTTGTTTAACGTCGAAAATGGAGACTTCGTTATCAACAGTGGTGCACGAAATTGATCGCAGAATTTTGTACTTGCCGACAAAGTCTAGATTTTAGCATCTGATAATTTGTGGTATGTAGCTAGAATATATGAATGTTGATAAAACACTGGATCTAAGGCAATAATATCACTGCAAAGACAATGGCTGTGGCGAGTATTGCTTGGAACTCTTTTTTTTCTTGATAGATGACCAGTAATTAGAAGTGCAGTAGAAAACGCGATACTTGGACGCTGTTTTTTTATCAACATCAGCACAAAGACTCTAATGCTTTCTCCCTGTTATGGATTTAAATCTTAATGCCCAATTCGAATTGTAGTGCTTATCTTTATCTAAAACTTGAGTTATCTGTGTAACAACTGTTTCACGTCCGAAATGGCGACTCCATTATGAATTGTGCATCAGATATTGGTCGTTGAATTTTAAACATACGAACAAAATCTACAGGTAAAATCATAGTATTTGGTGCAATTTTGGCGCGATTTTGAAAATTATCATCACCACCAAAAATGATCCAAAGAACGTCTGTGTACGCAACGAGTGATGGTGTACCACTGGGGTGCCTGCGTCAAAGGACCCTACCCCGAATCGAAAATACGCTAGTTCGAACAGAATGCAAACTAAAAATATGCCCAAGATTTCTAATACACATTTTTTTTTCTTTCTTTAATTTTTATTTTTACATATTTTTTATAAAAATTTCGGTTAGTCTTTGGATTATGGTAACGTAGCGGTTTTTTGGCGAACATTCGGCGACCAACCCTGCTACAGCAACCTGCTAGTTTTTTTTTTTTGGACGCCATTTTGTTTTTACGAAGTAAAGGCAAGTTTTTTTAACTCGACATTTCTTCCAACAGTCTGCTAGCCGAATTACGCTTTACTAGGACTTTTATGGAACAAAAGTGCTTAATCTTGAAGATTACGTGCGAAATTGGGAGAAAGTGCAGAATCGCCCACTGCTTGCCGCCTTTTTAAAAATTGCACATACACGGTATCATCCATGTACACGTCGACCTATTTTCACATAAAAAAAAACATCCCAGAATTGCACAAAAATGGCATTGCACACACTCTTGACTTTATCCATGTACACTGCTAAAGTTCTAGCTAGTAACTTTTATCGCCTTATCAAAATGTCGCCAAACTACCTGTAACCATATTCCAAAGATTAGCTAGAAAAATTATATATTTATATATATATGAGCTTAATAATGAAGTTAAGCTTGAGTATAGGACCCCATTGGCAATTTTTTGGCTTGGCGACCAGAAATGTTGCCAAGCCACGGAAAAGCCATTAAAATTGAAAATACAAGTTAGAAAGCACGTTTTAGCCACAAAAAGTTTTAGAATATATGTTTAAACAGCAAATTTGAAGGTACATAAGTAAGTAGGGGCACATTTTAAGTTGTAATATTGAAAATACAAGTTCAGTATTCTAAAACCAGTTAAAATTGAAAATAGATGTTAGAATGCACATTTTAACAAAAAAAAAAAAAAAAAAAAAAAAAAAAAAAATACAAATTTAGAATATATATTTAAACAGTGAAACTGAAAATAAATAACGGCATATTTTTAGCAGTCATACTGAAAATACAAATTACAAGCTGTAAAATTGAAAATAGGAGCTCAGAATACATGTTTAAATTAAAAATATGAAAATAGGAGTTAAGAATGCATGTTTAAATTAAAAGTAAAGTTTGAAACTACACAAGTACATGGAGGCATATTTTAAGCAGCAATATTGAAAATGCAAGTTTTAAGTTATAAAACTGAAAACAGGAGTTCAGAATACATGTTTAAATTAAAAATAAAAGAAATGCTGGAAATTTAGTAAAGTTTACAAAATCATGGTAAATTTACAAAGAAATCCTATACTCTGCCCAATTTATGTCCCTTACAATTTCGAGAAATTTGTTGAATACGGGAGTGCGACAGGGTTGCTGAAGTGGAGTATTCTAGAATTTGCTGGGTTACCAGAAAAACAACCCTCCAAAAAGTGCGCCAAGCCAAAAGTTGCCAATGGGGTCCTATACTCAAGCTGTACCTTAAGCCATGGAAAAGCCATTAAAATTGAAAGTACAAGTTAGAAAGCACGTTTTAGCCAGAAAAAGTTTTAGAATATATGTTGAAACAGCAAATTTGAAGGTACATAAGTAACTAGGGGCACATTAATAATGAACAATGAGAGCGTACATGATCACGTAGAGGAAAATGACGTCCAGTAAAGCCACTAGCAGGAACAGAACAGTACATAGGAAAAAATAATGCAAAAATATTGGTTTTAACATCTGACAATTTACTAATTCAGAAGTCAAACAACAAAAATCAGCGTTATACCTACAAAATTTTTTTCACAGGACTAGTTTCGATGGTTTTACCGAACCATCATCTTCAGCTGCAAAACCGCAAATAAACAAGATAGGAAATAATGATTAGATAAGAAAGCCTGGACAAGAATAAGCAAGTGGCGCCATCTGTTGGCGAAACCAGAACTAAAACATAATTTCTCTAAAAGCCGAAGGCAAATTTGGATTGGAATTAGGATCGTTAGCTAGAACAGAAAGATTTTTATGAATGTGAAATGCCTCTAGAAAATCCAGTTCTCCAATGGAAGATGTTTTTTGAATAATTTTGACAGCAGAAAAATTAAAAGTGTGATTTTCGGACCAACAATGTTGGGCAACAGAAGACCTCTGTGTTTCCTTTTTTCTAACATATGTCTCATGTTCTTTGACGCGAAATTTTAAGGCTCTCTTAGTTTGGCCAATGTAAATTAAACCACTGGCAAGGAATCCTATAAATACCCCAGGAATTCATATCCGGAATGGGGTCCTTGAGTATAGAAGTTGGAATTTTATTGATGGGAGAAAAAACAACCCGAAAGTTAAATTTCTGCAAAATATGTGCAACTTTATAGCTAATTGATGGAAAGAAGGGAATAATGAGAACAGAATTTTTATAATCTCCTAAAATAAGAGTGTGGCTTTTAGTGTGTTGAGATGAGAATTTTTTAACTGCTTGATTAATAAATGTTGGGTGAAAAGCCCCTATCAATAGCTATTGCTTTTAAATAATTTAGTTCTTCATCAAGGGCTAGTTTGGAGGAGCAAACTTGAAGAGCACGGAAAACATAGGAATAAAATGAAGCTAACTTTTGTTTAGTCGGATGACATGATTTAAAGTGTGGTGGAAGGCAAACCGATGAAGGTTTACGGTAAACTGTAGTACTGAAGTTGGATGTGTTACGTGTGACCAGAATGTCGAGAAACGGAAGAGAATTGCAAGTCTCAAGTTCAAAAGTGAACTGAATAGCAGGATCAATAGAATTCATTGTTGAAAGAACTTTATTTAAATCATCTTTATTACCTTCAAACAGGGTAAAAGTATCGTCTACGTAGCGGAACCATGCCGGGAAGTTTAAAGTTTCAAACAATTTTGATTCATAATAATGCATGTAGATATCAGCCAGGATGGGACTGAGGGGACTTCCCATGGCTAATCCCTCAGTTTGCTTGTAATATTTATTTTGGAAAACAAAATGTGTTTGTTTCAAACAGAGTTGAGTGAGAGAAATTAGCTCATCAATTTCGATGCAAGAGAAATTAAATTTGCGAAGTCTGGTTTCTAGACATCTTAATGCACCCTCCACTGGGACATTGGTGAATAATGATTTTACATCAAAAGAAACCATGAGTAAATTACTAGGAGAAATGTTTTTAACGTTTTTTACAAACTCTATTGAATTTTTTATGGTGTAAATGTTATTGTCTAATAGAGTGGAAAATCTAGAAACTAAATGATACGAGGCAAATTTTGTAGGTATAACGCTGATTTTTGTTGTTTGACTTCTGAATTAGTATTTATTCGGCGTGTTATTGTGTCTTAATCTGACAATTTAGTGTGTGTACGTTATATGATACAAGGCAGTAATATGATTGTTTAAGACTCTAATGGTTGTGAGATCTGTTTAAGACTGGTAATGGTTGTGAGAACTGTTGCTTGAAATGATTATTGGTAGATAACTATTCAGTAGTGCAGTAAATGACGTACATCAATGCTTTTTTTTTTTTATCGACCCAAACACGAAGACTAGTGTTTTTTGTTGGATGTGTAGGATGCATAATTAGAATTATACTGCTTATCTTATAATAAAATCTAAAAGTTTTTAAATACCATAACAGGATGGAAGTAATGCTGAAAAAAAAAATCTAATCTGTTAATTCATGTTTTTGGCTGTGGAACAGTGACTAAAGAAACTTATTTTCGAACAGTAAAGCTGATCCTATAATAGAACAAGGAATTACCACTCCCGAGTAATATATAGTTCTCTTCTGGTTTAGAACTCTGCCCTGTCTGTAAAATTTGTTAAACAAGACCTTGATTTGGAAGTAAATAACCAACATAAAGCTATCCACAAAATTGCAAACTCATGGGAAAATGTCTCAATATATGGATCTTTGTTTCCATGAAACACGATTTCGTTGAGATAGAATGAGATGATACTGTTTTTTAATTGATGTAAACACAAAAACTGTTAATTGACACAAACGTTTTCTGCATGTCTTTTCTGCATGCATTTTTAGATGCGTAATTGGTATTGTATTGTTTACCTTGTAACGGAAATATAAGTTTAGGAATACCACTAGAGGCCAGAAGTAATAGTAAAAATAACTAATGTAATCTATTAAAAGTCATAATTTTGTGGAACAGTGAAAGAATTTTTTTTCTCAAATAGTCCTCTGATACAAGTAATACAAGAAAATACCACTTCCTTGAGTAGCATAGTTCTCTTATATTCCAGAACTCAGCCAAGTCTGTTAAAAGATTCTCAAAGCAAGAGACCTTGCTTTGAAAATACCCAGAATAAAGCTATCCACAAAATTGCAAGCTCATGGGAAAGTGTTTCAGAATATGAATTTTTGTTTCTATGAAGCACAATTTCGCGGAGATGATGTTTAGATAGAATGGGATAAATTCAGACTTAATAAAGAATAGATATCGCAGTGATAAAAAATTATGTATAGTTAGCACAGGAACTGTTGTTACACACGCACATACACTTGCATAGTAACAAAAAAAAAGTAAGTTTAAATTCAGAATAGGCACTCATTTGGGTCATATGTTATTTAATGATTAATGCTGTATATGATTCATATATAAAAGCACATTGGTACCAAATATAAATCGTGTATCCTGAAATTTCTCTCCTTAAGAGGAGCAGGAAAGCCCTCTCTCCCATGTTAAATGCAATTTTGGAACTACACTAATATGCGCGCCCTCAAGTCGCCAAATTTCTCGCCAAACATTTTTGGCGAGAAACTCCACGCTGCCATATTGCTGTCTAAATTTTTTGTCTACATTTAGAACTTTAAGCCTAAAATGTCTCCCAAAACACGGTTTTCGCAAATGCAAAAACCATGTTTTGAACACAAAATTTAAGCTAAAAATACGAAACAAAAACAAAAAATTTTGATAGCAAAACTGTAAAGTTTCTAACCAAAATTATTTGACAAGAGTCCATGTACACAGCGATATGTTTTAACTTAAAAAAACCATCTACGAATGGCACAATCTAGGCAACGAACGAATCTACGAACTACGCACACCTCGCTTTAATAAATTAACATAACAACAATAAATTTCAAAGAATACCATGTACACAGCATCCTGTTTCAACTTAAAAAAAAACATCTACGAATTGCACAATTTAAGCAACAAACAAATCTACAAACTATGCACACCTCACTTTAATAAATTAACATAACAACAATAAATTTCAAAGAATACCATGTGTACAGCGTTCTGTTTCAACTTTAAAAAACATCTACGAACTGCATAATTTAGACGGTATGCACTAATCAACAAAATAACTAAAATAAATTTCAAACAATTCAAAAAAACAATAACGACAGAAATTCTTACTAAAAGACAATGAACATAACCTTCTACAAAATAAGTACAAGAATAAAATAAAATGCACTTATCATGAATCAATGCTTTTTCGAACAGCAGAAATACCAATTTCATACCGCTTTTAAAATGCCGCCTCGTAATCACTATCGTATGTATATGACGCCCAGACACACTATCCAGAAAATTCATACTATGGTTCACAAATAAATAAAATAAGCAAATAATTACAAATCCCTACTTCTATCATGCACTTCCAGACCCTCTTTCCACACCTCCAAATACCCGCTGCCCATCAACAAGATGGCGACGACGATATTTCCTTTTGCCAAACTTCAATTCAACAACTTTCAAAATTTTAGCTTCTCAGACACAGAGCATGATGCGAACCAATGAACTCCAGCGAAAGATTTTTTTAACGTCAACAGGGTTGCCATACAACACGCAATCGCGCCAGAAACCAGCACAGAACACATATCGCCACATTTGGTGAATTTAGGGCGTATATCAGAGTTGTACTGCAATTTTATCTACCTTTTTCTCAGAAACGACAAAGGATAAAATTAGGAAATTTATACCACTTTTACAATAACATGCTTTATATACTATAAGAGGCTATTTTCTTTCTAACTTTAAATAAAAACCCCCTCAGGGGGCTCACTTTTGTGAGTACGAGTACCCTAGCCCTTCAGGGGATCATCTTCTTGGTGAGACGGGTGTCACGATTCTGGAGCCCCAGTGATCTATCCTCTTTTCTGTCTCCTCTCCTTTTAGCTGGAACTTTTTTCTTTCCCTTCTCCCTCGTGGTTTCTCTCTACGGAGTTTGGGGCTCGTCACGAGAGACTGGGACATCCCTTTCCTCTAGTTTTCGAGTGGCGAGAAAACTGCCCACGTGTTTGCCGTGCGTGGAGACCCGTCTGGTAGTTGAGGGGCGAGGTACTGTCCCCAACACACTGCTTTGGCCTCTGCTTCAGCTAAACGGGAGGCACCTTAGTCGTCCTCACGGGTGTCAATCGGCTGGTCACTAGTCCTTGTGTCAGTGGCTGGGGGTCAAGCTCTCGGGAAAGCCGACTGTGGGGCTTCAGTATGTGTATAGGTCCGGCTAGCCCTAACACAGGAATCTGTGTTCCCTTGTTGGGATCCGTGGTGGGCGGGGCCGTCAGACCCGAATCTTTTTTCCTTAAATATGGCTAATTCACAAGTTTTTCTGATCAAACACTTCGAAGTCACTCAAGTCGCTCAAAGTTCTAATTGTGAAAAATCTACTGCAAAAAAAATACGGACAGATGAAAGTGCAAATAATCCTAATAGTAGTCGTCGTTTTCTTGTTATGTCTAGTCCTTCTGGCGAGCTGCAAAAGATGTCACCTTTTGTAATAAACAAGTATATTCATTCCTGTATTGGTGAGCCGAAAAATATAAAGCGTCTCCGCTCTGGAGACTTGCTTATTGATACAACCTCAGCCACCCAGTCTGCTTCTTTACTTAAAATAACCAAACTTGGGTAAGCGGATGTCACAGTAACAGCACATAAGACACTGAATTATTGTCGTGGTGTAATTTCGGAAATCGACCTTCTATGTGTTCCCGAAGAAGAGATCGCATCCGAGCTATGTAGACAAATTGTTTGTGGTGCAAAACAGATCAAGATGCGTAAAGAAGGTAAGTTGATCGATACGAAACACGTGATCCTTACCTTCAACACGCCTGTTCTGCCCAAGAATATTAAGGCCGGATACTTAAATTGTCCTGTAAGACCTTATATTCCAAACCCTATGCGATGCTTCCAATGCCAGCATTTTGGCCATTCTAAGACATCTTGTCGTGGCAGCCTCACATGCGCCCGATGCTCACAGATTGGCCATGATTCTGAAAATTGTACCGCTGCGCTGTTGTGCATAAATTGTAAGGGTGAACACCCAGCATTTTCTCGCTTGTGCTCAAAATGGAAATTCGATGAAGAAGTACATGCTGCAAAAGTAACTAGGAACATCACATATGCTGAAGCCAGAAAATTAGTCCAAAGCACACAGGTTAGACAAAGTACATCTTAGCCCTCAGGGGACTCACTTTTGTGAGTACGGGTGTGGCAATCCCGAGGTACCCTAGCTCTTCAGGGGATCATCTTCTTGGTGAGACGGGTGTCACGATCCTGGAGCCCCAGTGATCTATCCTCTTTTCCGTCTCCTCTCCTCTGCTGGAACGTTTTCCCTTCCCGTCTCCCTCGTGGTTTCTCTCTACGGAGTTTGGAGCTCGTCACGAGAGACTGGAACAGACCTTGTCTCTAGTTATCGAGTGTTGAGAAAACTGCCCATGTGTTTGCCGTTCGTGGAGATCCGCTGGAAAGGAGGGTCCTGGGAGTTGAGGAGCGAGGTACTGTCCCCAACACGCTACTTTAGCCTCTGCTTCAGCTAAATGGGAGGCACATTAGTCCTCACGGGTGTCAATCGGCTAGTCACTAGTCCTTGTGTCAGTGGCTTGGTGATAAGCTCACGGCAGTACCTGCTTTCAAGAAAGCCAACTGTGGGGCTTCAGTTTGCATATAGTTCCGGCTAGCCCTAACACAAGAATCTGTGTTCCCTTGTTGGGCTCCATGGTGGGCTGGGCCGTCGGATCCGAATTTTTTCTCTTTCAATCATGGCTTCTCTCTTTATTCTTAAAAATAACCCGAGTGAAATGAAACAAACCAAGATATTGAAATTATCGACAAAGCCATCAACAAGAAGATCCATATTGATGCAAATGCCAAAGATATCGAAATTGTTGACAAAACCATTAGCAAGAAGATCCGTACGAACACAAATGCCAAGGAAACTACTGAAAATCCACGCTTCATTTTTGTTTCTAGTCTTTCTGGTGAACTGCAAAAGATGTCTCCTTTTCTCGTAAGCAAATATATGCATTCATGTAGAGGTGAGCCAAGGAACATAAAGCGTCTGCAATCAGGAGACCTGCTTATTGATACCGTATCGGCCATGCAGTCTGCTTCTCTTTCTCAACAAACCAAACTTGGAGAAATATCTATAACTGTGTCAGCGCACAAAACAATTCTGGTAGGGGTGTGATCTCGGAGATCGACCTTCTGTGTATCTCAGAAGAAGAGTTCGTCACCGAGTTGGCTGACCAAAATGTCTGTCGTGCTAGGCGGATCAAGGTGCGAAAGGAAGGTCAGTTGATCGAAACACGTGATCATGACCTTCAGTATGCCTGATCTACCTAAGAATATTAAAGCCGGATACTTAAATTGTCCTGTAAGACCTTATATTCCAAACCCTATGTGATGCTTCCAATGCCAGGATTTTGGCCATTCTAAGATGTCTTGTCGTGGCAGCCTCACAATGCGCCCTATGCTCACAGATTGGCCACGATTCTGAAAATTGTACCTCTGCGCCTTTGTGTGTAAACTGCAAGGGTGGTCACCCAGCATTTTCACGTCTTTGCCCAAAATGGAAATCAGAAAAAGAAGTGCAAAAGTTACCAGGAACATCTCATATGCTGAAGCCTTAAAAGTAGTTCAAAGCACACAGCTCCAATCAAACAAATCATATGCCAGTGCCGTTAAAACAACACATACCATTGCCACCCAAACATCAATAGGCATGCAGACTGTACCAAATAAAACCCAACCAACTACATCCAACAAGAAAAAGGAAAGTTCAACTCGTTTTATACAGAAAAAAAAAAAAAAAAAAAAAAAAAAAAAAAAAAAAAAAGTCGTTCAAAGTAAACCCAAAACTGCCACACAAAAAATATGAAATAAAAATAGAAGTCCCAGCAAAAGCTTTTTTGATGAAATGATTTCTTTCATCACAGCATTGGTGGCTGAGACGTCTATGGTTCTGGATCAAGGGTAGACAAAGCAATGGACGTCTTGCAGACAGACCACTCTGCTGTAAACAGCGTCGAATGGTAAGCGCAGACACTGGATGATGCGTTACAGACTGAATGTGCTGTGCTATGGTTCGTGATGTGACTGAGTGATTTGTCACTGCCATGCGTACAATGTTCCTATCCTCACGTGAAGTGGTGCACTGAGGTGGATGCGATCGAACATGTCGGTCCGTCGTACCCTCCTGCATCCAGTGGTCACATATCCGCATTACAGTTGTTTCGTTTTGTCCAACATGACTACCGATTTCCCTGAATGATAATCCACTTTCTCGGTAGGCTACTATCCTTCCTTTGTCAAACTCGGATACTTGATCAAATGATGATCGTTGTTTATTATGAGGCATAATTGATAGTTTTTTTTGAAAAAAACCACAAGAAAAACACAATTGCCGGACTGGAAATCGTTGAAAACTTCAACCCTTAAATAGCGCTTTGAAGTGTGCTGAAATTCTAATCATTTGCATATCTCACCTCCTCTAATGCATGTTGTAAATTTCATGTTATTTGCATGCTTCCTTCAGGGGGTACTTTTACGGAGGCCAGCAGTGTATGATGTGATGTTCTTCTCGACGACTGCTCTGTTGGGGGTGACCTGAGCCTGGTCGCCATGTAAATGACGTCTCTTCTGTCTACTGGACCCAACATCTCCTCACAGTAAAATCAGAATGGCCTACCTGATGAGCTACTCGACGAGCTGACCACCCAGCCTCCATCATCCCTATGATGCTTCCCCTCTTGTACTCTGACAGCTGCTGATACTGGCTTCTCTTTGTGTGCCACTGTGAGGAGTCTGGGTACCCACCGAGAACACAGTTTCTTAAAGTTTAGGTTTTCAGTCACAATTTTCTACATCACCTAATGAGAAATGTGAGGAAATTCCAATGAAAGAGTGGTTATTGTGAATCTGTTGTCTTGAATTTTTGTTTCAACTGCATGCACCAAATCATTAGTGATTACAGAGGGCTGACCTAAGCGTTCTTCGGCTCATCCTCAAACTCCATGAACCATTTTCGCTCATTGCTTCAGTGCCATAAAATTCTGTTATCTAGCGATGAATGTTTGCAGCCGACATGTTTCTCGCAGTCAAAAAATAGATAACAGACCGATCAATCACCTTAAACATTTTAAAGATGCACAGCAAAGCTTGCATGACTGCTACAGAGCTGAAATTGCCATGAGTTTGTTTGAAGTAGATGCTGGTCAGTGGTGCATTCGAAAAGGATGCTGGTTAGTGGCGCAGCGATTCAAAGTGGCGTATACGCGAATTAGGGAACAAAACGTGGCCACAGACCAGCACTCATATAATCCCCATGGGAACCTGGTCTAAAATAGTGTTTAATAGCTTCAGTGTCACGATTCTCCAAAATGTGCATTGCTGCATTTCTATACAATAATGTTCTGATTACACATCCACCCCCCAAAAAAATTCTGTTCAGTGATATGAGCAAAGCTCCACTTCGTTTTTTTTTTTCTTTTCCGGACTCTTCTCCCTTTAGGTTTGGTACATTTGTCCAAATCCTCTTGGGGTGCAGAGTATTGCTCTGTGCTTCTCATTTACAGAGCACTTGTCCGCTCTAGATTGAACTGTGGGTCAGTTGTTTACGGATCTGCAGTCGAGAGGCAGACGAGAGATACGCAGAGAGGCAATTGCAGATGGTTCTGAATAAGGTGCAAGAATGGTCAGACAAACAGGGATTTACTTTTTCCTAACAAAAAACTTTGTGTGTGCACTTTTGTAGAAAGCGAGGTCTCCATCCTGAGCCTGAATTATACCTCAATGGGTCTGTGATTCCAGTAGTGCCCGAAGTAAAATTTTTAGGAGTGATGTTCGACCAGAAATTGACTTTCCTTTCTCATGTTTTAAACCTGAGAAAGAAACTCCTGGGGTGCAGAGCGTTGCTCTATGCTTCGCATTTACAGAGCGCTTGTTCGCTCTAGACTGGACTATGGCTCAGTTGTTTATGGATCCGCTCGGTCATCAGTTTTGATA